ACTAAAACTGTGTAACTGTTTTATTACTTCCTCTAGCACAAGATTGGGACATACCTCAAATAAGGAACCATTAATTTATTAACATAATGTTGATAGTATTGCCTGCCTGGTAGTGTGCTAAACAAGTACTTCATATATATTATTTATGTTGTTTAACTTAATCCTCAAAGAATTTAATGACATAGGTACTATTATCCCCACCTTTACTGATGAGAAAATATAGCTTGAGAGAGGTTAAATGTGTTTTAAAAAGAGACCATGCTTAGTATAATCAGTTTAGAACCATTTAGATATATCTGGATATCTGTATTTGCCAATAACCCTATTAAATATATTTCAAGGAAACTTTGATATGATAAAATTGCTATTCTATATAAGAATTTCAATGGTCCTTTAGTGTTTGAGGATATACAATTTAAACTATTTAATCTTAGTAATAAAAATCAATCTAATAACAAACCATACTGAAGTTTTCAAGGTTGAAATACTGTGGTTTCTAAATTTCTCTTTTTAGGACAGTTACATTTTATGTAACTTTCTACATCAGTTGTGAAAAGCTGTGATTTGCATTCAAATATGTATTACTGAATTCACAAACTTAAAAAAGCATATACTCTTGTTTTAGAATAATTTTTCAGGAATGAAAATGTCAATATATAACTCAGGACTCCTAGAACCTAAATATTTTATTTGTGGGAAAACTTGGACATATAATTTATATACTTTAAAACTAATATGAATAAAAAGGAGAAAACATTAACTTTTCTTTTGCAGACAGGGTCTCCCTCTATCACCCAGGGTAGAGTACAGTGGCGCCATCATAGCTGACAGTAACCTTGAACTCCTAGGCTCAAGTGATCCTCCTGCCTCAGCCTCCCAGAATGCTGAGATTACAGGTGTGAGCTACTGTGCCTGGTCAAAAAACACTAATTCTTAATGCCTGCACATTGCTGAATATCCCAAGACCCTATCAATATAGTTGCTTAAAGCAGGAGGTCAAAATAGCTTGGGGATTCGATGTGTTATTTATGTTTAATAGAATTTCAATTGCCATGTTGAATTTTTCTGCTCAGTTTGGAGTATTAAATATATAAAATATATTTTATTTTAAAGTGCAGTGTCATATTTGTTAAGAATGTAGAATCCTGTTACCCTTAAAAAGCCAAGATCATCGAAGAGTGAAGCATTTCCTCACTCTTCAAGCCTGAGCTATTTATTTTTCAAATTGCTCTCAGCTACCAAGCTTGTTTTAAATGCTCACGTTACCAATTTTGTTTTTAACTGCTCCAATACATTATTGTACAAATTCAGGAAACAAACTCAGACTCTTGACCACAGCATTTTTGGCAGTTTTGATATGCCTGATAACATACATGCTTCCTGTGTTTGTAATCTTGTAGTATTAGTACTAATATTATCCTTTTAAATGAAATTAACCATCACCACCCGTCTGTCTTCTTACATACACATTATGGTTCTGGCCGTGTTAGTTACTACATCAGCACTGGTGGTTTCCTTAAAAAAAAATCTTTAAAGATACAGAGTAAAAAAATGTAAATGTGATAAGAGTTCAAAAAATTGTGGTCCAGGTTTGCAATGTTAAGTGGAAAAGAACGACAAAAATCTGTAATCATAAGGGTGAAAGATGAAGCCATGGTCTTATTATATGGTCACAGACGATAGATTCTTTTGAAAAATCAACATATCAACCACAAAGACTGAGAAATACTACGCCAGTAATCAAATGGGCAAAGGCAGGATTTACCTTGGCTCAACGCTATTCTTTGAGGGCCAGTGTCGTGAACTCCGGTGTAGCCTATTCTGACACCGAACACGCCCAGTGCGGCCCCCCACGCCCCTCTCCTCCAAACCTCCCTTCCTAACACAAACGCGCACACACGCCCAGCCCGGCCCCAGGATAAAGCTAAGATGGCAGCGAGGAAAGTAGGGGAGCTGCGCTCAGTGGGGCTGGAAAAATAAAAGCAAAGCCCTCCGCATTCTTTCGTTCTGCATAGTTCCTTGAATAAGAAGTACCCCTCCTCCTCCCCTCAACACGTGGGCTGCGTAAAGGCATTCAGTAGTAGTGCTCACTGGAGTGGTGGGAGGGGACGCTTGCTTGGCATATTACGAGAAACCCACATCTCTGATATGCAGCGACGGTTCAGGTGACCCTTGCGACTTGCCTTGGGGACCACACTCCCCTTCACGTCCTCTACAGTGGAATTAAGGGTGACTCCAAACGCCCTCTCCTTCCTGGCATGCGCCCACTCCCGGCTATCCCAGGGGAGCCATCCAAGGTGCCCAGCTGCCACCGCGGTAGCGGTGGCTGTAGCAGGGACCTAGGGCAGCGCGCCATGAGGAGGCAGAAAGAAGAGGAGGAGGAGTGGGGAAAAAAACGCTGCACTGGCTATCAGTTTAGAGTACAGCGACCGCTGCCGTGGAAGGAAACGCTGCCAACCGCAACTGAAACGCCACCCTCAGATACCCAAGGAGCATGTGTGCGACACTGCGCACGCCTAGTTGCACAGCTCAATGACATCGGGTTTCTTAGGAAATTATCCAGTTTCCGGGTTTTATGTGTACCCGGGAGGCGCAGGAAGGGGCCTGTCAGGGACTGTAGAGTACAGTAAGGACTGAAGCAAAATTAAGGAAGGGGTGGGAAGAGCCCGGAGACCAGTGCAGCCCCATGGGTCAGTGTCCATTAGAAACTCTAAATGGGCACATGCCACCCACCACCTGAGCCTGAGCTGGGAATGTTTCTCTGTGCAGGCAGCATTGATTCATTCGACCATTATCTATTTCCTTCCTGCTTATAGCTGCTAGACAGTGTGCTAAAAGCTGGGAATGTATTGTGTGGACAGACACAGACACGATTTCCACCCTATGGAAAAGCCTAATGTGTTTCGTTTAGTGTGTGTTACCATTTGTGAAAAGCTATGTGCCAAGGATTGAGGGAGAAGCTCTAAGTCCTCCCTGAATCTCATGAGGTAGGTATTATTTTGAGCATTATTTAGAGGAGGAAACTTGCCCGAAGGCATACAATTATTAAGTGGCAGAGTCAGGATCCAAATCCACTGCTATCTGATTTCAGGGCCTTTTAGCTACCCTGCTGGCTCTTGCAACAGTAATGCACCCTTGCAGTGCTTACCTGTCAGGCCTTTAGCTCCACTCTTAGAATTTAGCTGCCTCCACACCATTGTCTTGGCTCTCACTACAGGGTGGGGGGTGGGCATCAGGGGCCTCCTGTTCAACACTGAGGTTTAGTAACTGTGCTGAAGCACTGAGATAGAAATTTAGCTTAACCAATACTTATTGGATTACTCCTATTGCAAAGTTCTACACTAGGGGCAAATAAACAATAAGCTCTGAAGGAACTTATAGAATAGTTGAGGAAACAAGACAAATGCAAAACTTGTTTAACAAGGCTAATCCCAGTACTAAAATACTATGATTCCACATCTGTCCTTCATTCCTGTTTTCATTATCCCTTTTCTAGCTACCTTTTTATAAAATCTAGATGATATTCATCTATCATTTAAAGCTCCAGATAAAATACACTCCTTTCAGCATCCTTCCATCCTAAAGCTGTAATTAATTTACTTCCCTACTCCTTGCTTCTTTTTACTTCTCAAACACTAAGCAGGATTTTTTTTTTTTTTTAATATAAGGCCATTCAAAGAAGAGGCACAGATATAAGAACTGCTAAGTAGATGAAAGATAGAGTACCGGGATGATAGGATTTAGAAATGATTTTGTCAGGACTATAAATTAAGCAAACTCTTCAAATTGAGAGTCAAAAGGATAAAACTTAATAGGAATCAGGGTGCATGGGCACATATATTTCTAGAGTATTTACTTAGATGGGGTCAGCAGCATTGCTTGGAACAGAGGACTCAGCAACAATTATATCATATTCAAGAATTATCTTTAACAACATGAATCTGGGCAGAAAAACAAAAGCCATTAAGTGACCACTGTAGAGAGATAAAGGTGCACCCTTTGGGTGAGTGAGGAATCAACAAAATAATAATTTTTAAAAACTCTTTTGCATTAAGATTTGTCTCTGATGTAATTGTTGAGAACAAGAATTTGGGAATGACTCTGGCTTGTGAATACTTGCCTATCTTCTGTTAATTCTACTTTCACAGAAAAAAGAATGAACTAGATTACTACTTGTCCGTGTAAATAAAAGATATTGTACACAGACAAATCCTAATGACAAAATATCCAAAGTAAGATCGCTAAAGGGACTTCTAATTCGATGGCCCTTTCTTCCTCGAATTATGAATTAACCAGCACTATTCACACTAAATCTTCCTGTTGGCAGCAAAGACTTGGGGAAAAGGTAAAAAGAGTGCGAACCACTCTTCCTCTGGCGATGGGCACATTCCCTCTTTCTTTCAGATCCTACCTGGTTCTCTCACCTGGAGGGAACCTGAAGTCGAACGCCGCTTCTGACAAGCCAGCCTCCCCAGCACTTTCCTTACTCTTCCTCAAGCTGCCAGTAAAACCCGGAGAAGTGGATTCCCTTCAGATTCTGCACAACCCGACAGTCCCACACCCAAAGCCCGGAGGCTGAGGGAGTGGTGGTGGAGAGGCGGGGGTGGGGGTGGGGAAGGAAGGGCTGGTGTTACTGAGCATGTGCGAGGAGTGGCGCATGCTCGGTGCGGCCAGCAGCTTCCCATTGCGGGTAGCCCCGGCGGTGGCAGCGGTGGTGGTGGCGGCGGCAGCGGCAGCGGCGGCACCGCCTCCTCCTCACACTCCCGGGGTGGCGGGGTTAGATGAGCGGCCCCAGTAGCGGCGAGGGCGGTGCGGGGGGGAAGAGGAGAAAGAGAAGGAGGAGGAGGAGGAGGTCGCTGTCTTTGTAGTCTCCCAGCTGCGGGAGCCGGAGGCCGCCACCGGAGCCGTCGTCGTTGGAAAAGGGCTGTGTGTGCGCGCGCGTGTCTGCCCGCCCGGCCCGCGGGGACGAGGCGGCGGCGGCGGCGGCGGCGGCGGCGAGGATGATGATGTGCGCAGCGACTGCCTCCCCTGCCGCCGCCTCCTCGGGGCCCGGCGGGGACGGATTCTTACCAGCCGCCACCTTCTCTTCCTCCCCGGCGCCGGGGCCGCTGTTCATGCCGGTTCCTGAGGGCTCCGTGGCTGCTGCGGGGCTGGGGCTGGGACTGGCCGCCGCGGACTCCCGGGGTCACTACCAGCTGCTGTTGTCAGGCCGGGCCTTGGCCGACCGCTACCGGAGGATTTACACAGCTGCGCTCAGTGACAGGGACCAGGGGGGCAGCAGCGCTGGACACCCGGCCTCCAGGTGCGTCTCCAGGGTGCCCTTCCTTGCGCCACATGCCGCGTGTGCACCGGTGTGTGTGTGTGTGTGTGTGTGTGTACGTAGGTATTTACTGAGCTTTCAGTTAGCGCCTGATGCTGGATGGTGAAAGTACTTACCGAGATAGGAGGGTGCGGTGGCTGTAGTTTCTGCTCTAAGTGTGTGTAGTCTATGTCGGGGGTTAGTGAGGATGGTGGGGTAGCGTGTGATGCTAGAAAAGGTGATTGTGCTGGTCGGTTATGACACGTGTGTGTATTGTTGAGGTAGGCGGAGGCATGGGTAGAGGGTAAGAGGGGGATACAGGAGGAGAATTTGCAAGAGTGGTGAGGGAAGTGGTGTTTCCAGTCCCTCTGCCGCAATGTTATTTGCACGTCCCCCCTCTCCCATGACATTCCTTCCTCCCCTTTCCATCCCTCTTAAAAAAAAATTTACCTTTCACTCAGGGGAGCAACGGTATAGGTTAAGGATAGTGTCGTATTTATAGGATGAGTTTTAGATAATCACTCTGGGGGATAGGCGTGAGGTTTGGTTTTAAGAGATTTATGAATAAGGGATGCAGATAGAGATTTATATAGACGTGGAAGGTATCTGACAGATTTTTAGAGCTGTACTTTGATAACTGGGCCTTTTGGTCTTCTGGAAATGAAGTTGCAGCTGCTCTTGTGTTCTGATGTCCCATCAGCCATTTCTATGCATCTTCTTTTCTCTTTCTTATGTTACTTATAGGCTGTAAAGAAGAGGGCGTTTTGTAGGGAAAACGGGAAAGCTGAGGAACTTCAAAATATGACAGCTGATATAGTGTTTAACTGCCACCAGCTATAAAATTAAGTAGCTCCTAGATTTCTTCCAGTTAGGCTAGCTGCACCTTCAGCTTCCTTGATGTAGATGTTAGATTACTTTCATTTTCTTTTTCTTAAAATGTGGGTGCCTTTTTTGCTAAGGGCCCTCCTATTGTTTTCTTTTCCTTGCCTTTACATGCCACCTACCCTGAAGGATGGTGTCTGACTTGCTTCACCAGCTTTGACAGTGGTAATTGGGAGTTGGCTTCATCTTTTTTCCCACAGCTTCTTACAATACATGGGGAAAGTATAGTAGGATTTTGTCAAATGTGTTAAAGAGTTTACTGCATTTATTGAAAGTGCAGTTTATTAGGCAATAGCCAGATGTCTTTTTCTTCCATTATGAAAGGGGCTAGGACTAGGCTGTAAGTCAGGTATTTGTAGTTTATTAGTATGAATCCTGTCTTATCCATTGTAGAGAGTTGTAAAGATGGAGCTTTGTTGACACTTTTTCTGAGCAAACCAGTCTTTTTATGTCTGTGATTGTTTACAGGATTGGGCACATGAGTACTTTAATCATATGGATGTAAATGTGTGTAACTGGCCTTTGCTGTCTGAACTAAAGGCCAGAATGGCACAAGGCTGTTTCTTGCTATTGTTTTTGAAAATAGCACAAAACCACATGAGACAGTTTGCTTTGATAATTAGGCATAAATTTGATCTTTGAGTCTCTAAATTATGGAACTGTAGGTATGCCTTTACAAACCCCTCTCAGAGAATTTATTTTGTATGTTGTTTCCAGACTTATGCAATAATTTGTGACTGGTATATTCCTGTTATGACTTTTCTACTGCTATGCTTGTGTAATAATATGATTTCTATGTATCTAGAACTATATTAACAATTTTAGACAAAATTAATATAGGTTAATCACATACATAAAATTTATGAATGATTTTTAGTCTTTGGTCCATTTTTGTACAAACTGTCAATGAAAAGTATGAAGAATTAGTTCAAGTATTTCAAGAAATACTCATGGAAACCAGCCTTATGTTGTATGATACTGCTTGCTAATGCTTGTTCATAACATTTTTGTTTATTACAGTTTACATGATCTTATTATGAAGAATAGCCTGCAATTACCCTTTACTGATGATTTGATTAAGAATTCAATCCCATTTGTTATTAAAGATGATGGGGAAGGTAGAGCTGGGATTTAGGCTCTGAATAAATGATATAATTATTTGTATAGGAGCACTAGTTGAGTTAGAGAAGATGAGATCATTCAGAGATAGAATGGAGCAAGAATAGAGGATGAAGCTCTACTGAGCATCGAGTTTAAAGGTGTGAGAGGAGACAGTGAAGGAAAAAAGAAAATCAGAAACTGAAGAAGAGATCCATGAGACAGTGGCACCTCTGGCTCTAGGAAAGTGGATTGAAAATTCTCCGAAGTGTTAAGTGCTGAAGAAAATGAGAACAGTTTTCAGGTCACTGATAACTTTGGAGGAAGTGGTCAGAGTACAGGAATGGAGTGTGTCGTGTGTTGGGGAATTCAGGGGTTGAGGGAAGGATTTTCAAGTATGGGAGGGTGAGATACTCAAATAAGGAGGATAAATGGAGAAGGAGGGAGTAAAGAAATGAGAGAGAGGGGGGATAATTAACAGGGAGAGGTCAAAGGGAGATCTCAGGGACAGATTTAAGATAAGTGGAGAGGTTAGCCATTTAAAAAAGTTAGGGGCAAGTCTTCCTTTAATATAGAAGGGGAAGAGGTAAATATTTGTAAATATAAAGACTGGGAGTTTATTGAGCGTAAGAACCATAGATTGTTCATTTTTGTAATCCCAATGTCTAGCACAGTTTTTGACATTCATTCTGTAAACATCAAGTACCTATTGGGTGCCAGGCACTATTGTATGTGTTGAAGATGTAGCAGTGAGCAAGACAGACAAGATCTCTACTGTCTTGGAACATCTACTCTAATGGGAGAAACAAACAACTGAAATTTCTGTCTGTGATAAGTAACTATGAAGGAAATAAAACCGATTGCATGTGATGGAGCAATTTGTACGGAGGTTATTTTAGGTGATGTGGTCAGGAAAGTTCTCTTTGGGAGTTGGCATTTAGGTCAAATTGTGATGATGAAGAATCAGATCCAGAGAAAGAGTGTTTTAGGAGATTATGAAGGCTCTGAATTGGGAACAAGCTTGTGTTCAGGAAACAAAAACATGGCAAGTGTGTTCTGTCAGTGTTTAATGAATTAATTACTGTGAATTATGCTTTAGGTGTACGGTTGAGAAACTGAGGGATTCAAACCTAATGGAGTCAGCAACTTTAATGGCATTGTAACAAAGTGGTCAAGAACTTGGATGCAGAAACTAGACTGGTTTTGAATTCTGGTTTTGTCATTTGCTAGTTGTGTAACCTTGGGTGTATTATATAACTTCTGTGCCTCAATTTTCTTACTGTAGAATGGGGATAATAATAATGTGGATTGTTTTGTAGATTAAATGAATCAATATATGTGCTTGACATATTAAGTGCTATAAACATTAGTTATTTTTTGTGCTGAAAATGAGGGGTTGGGGACTTGAAGAGAAGGCAAGGATCATGTCTTGCTTTTCTATTTTTGGTCTCAATGATGGTATAGAATGCGGGAATAACTCATCGATTTGTTCAGTAACTGAGTAAAATATGTTTTTGGATGAATGAGGCCAATCAAAATTGGAACATTCTCTTAGGGAAAGGGGTTTGATGGTAAGTGAATAAAGGAATATTTGATCAGTTCTGAATATGAACAGTGATATAGCCATACACTTTGGAAGCACCATAGCACAGTGGCTAAATGTTAGGGCTCTGGAAGCAGACTGCCTTAGTGCAAATCCTGTTCTATCTTTTTCTATCTGTATTAAATTGGGCAAGTTAGTTAAATTTTCTTTGTCTTTTTCTTGTCACCTTATAGAGTTTTCAAAAGGACATTATGTTTGCACATGATAAGTGCCCATTAAGTTTAAGCTGTTGTTATTATTATTAAAGTCATATTTGAAATTCCAATCAACATGACATTGTAAGCTTTTCTGTTCAAAAGAGAAATGGAGAAGACTAGTTGAGTTGATTCAGGGTTAAAGTGTGACTGGAGGTAAAAGAAAAAAGAAATTAAAGGTGAGGTTTGGTCATATGGTAAAAAGGAAAGTGATGCCAGGAGGGAACTGATAGACAGGGAGATAAAGAGGAGTCAGGGTATCTGGGTCTTGAGGTGGTGGATAACAATGTTAGTGGAAACAATAGATGAGATTTCTTCTCTAAACTGAACCCACTTTGTTCCTTCAGCTGCTTTATCTCATTCTTGTTAGAAATGGTATTAATATTTGAGTCCATCCTTCAGGTGCATGGGATTTTGGATGTAAGAGGTTAAGTAGTCAATTCAACAAAGGTTCTGGGATTATTAATTGGCACTAACCATTGGTCCTATAAAGATTTATAAGACACAAATCCTAGACTTGAGTTTATTGTCTATCTGGGGGTTTAAGATAAAAAGGCAGAGACCGATAGAAGTGTTAAATGAAATGATGAAGAAAGCATAACCTGTTATGACAAAGGCATGGCATTCTGGGCCAGCTCAAAAGCATGAGAAGAAGCGAGAAAACACAGTTTGTGTGTACATAATGGTAAGAATTCTGTTAGAGCTAGGATGCAGGTTTTGTGGGAGAGAATTCATTCTGGAAGTGGAGGCTTTGGCTAGAGGGTAGGACATCTTAGAGTGCAAGGCGCGGATTAGATTTTTTTCAGTAGACACTGATCAACCCTGATGGTTTTGAGCTATGAAGAGATGTTACTATAGGAGTCTGTAAGGAAGTAATAACAGGATTGAATCCGTATATCTATATTTGTAGATAAGTAATAATTTTCTTCTATATATAGCTGTTAATATATGTTAATATATAATATAGCTGTTACATCTGTGGGATCCTATAAACACATGTTAAGGCAAAAACTTCTCTGTTGGCATACTGGTAGATAGAAATGTGAAATGAGTTAGTCTCCCAGCTCAGGAGAAGAGAAAAATGTTTTCTCTGGGCTTAAAAAGAAAATAAAGATGTTAATTTAAAAATACTTTTGCATCTTAAAATATTTGTTTAAAATATCAACAGAATAGTCTCTCTTTTTTTTTTTCCCCCCAAAAAACAGGCTAACCATTCAGGTTTTTAG